GACTTTAGGATGTATTTAGCCATGCAAAGGCTTAAAGTCTTCGACTTTATGGGTTAGGAGCTTAATATGATGCTAGTTTATGGGTTGGATAATAAGTTCTTAAGTAGTTAATACGTTTGAACAAGGAATTGAAATCAGGCCAATATGTGGGGCGCACTTATGGGTATGTTGAGCGTATTGGGTGCGAACCCCGTCTCCGGATTCAATCACATACATAGGGTTTATGATATTGGTACGTCGAGCATACGCTAGTCATTGGGCTGAAGGAGTGTGGGTTATGGAGGTTACAAAAACAATGCTCCAAGCAGAAAAACATTTAACAATTAAATGATTGGGGCACATGAAACCTAATAAGGATCTATGTCTTTCACATTAAGGAAACATACTATGAAATATCAAACTACAAAATTTTCCTATTAAAATATGAATTCATTGGTAAGAATACATATATTGTTCATTGTTGAAGTAAACAACCAAGAATCCATTTCTATTAATCTTTTGGAAGCAAGCACTATAAGCATCGTGCCTCTAGTGGTTCACACCCAACAGAAGCAAGAAGGATATTAAGGAGAGAGGAGGGAGGAGGTGAGAATTTCGTCCAAGCTCTCTAAGGTATGAGTGGCCGAAATATGAAGGGGTAAGGCTCCTTATATAGTGCAACAAGGAAACCCTAAATAACCCTAAAACCAATATAATAATATTATCTTGTTTTTTGTAATTATTTAGCTTCCTGATTATCCTCCAAGGATAATTCTAGAACCCCTAGAACACTCCCAAAATCGTCCATAGCCTAAGGAGGTTCTAGAATGCCTTTTGCTCAACTATCAAACAATTACACTTTAACCCTTGTACTTTTAATTAATTATATTAATCCCAAAATTAATTCCAATTAATTTCTGATTAATTATTAATTAAATATTGGGTTTTATGCGGAAAAGTCTCATTATTTTAGGAAAAATTTTAATAAAATCCTAAAAAAAATTGAAAAGAAAAGTCTCATTATTTTTGGGAAAATCACATAATATGTAATTTCTTGTTAAAATATAAAAAAGTGATTTTTTTGGTAATTTGGGAAAAATGTTAAAAAAAAATGGGATGTTTCAGATCAAAAAAACTTTTAGGACATTATTAAAAAATTACCTAAAATAATGGGACTTAACTTCATAAATCTCATTAAACATTACTATTTCTAATTAATATATTATTCTCATAATATATAAATAAATTATTTATTTCAATCTATTAATCAAATAATAAATCAACCTCTCTCACTCTCTCTCTCTCTCTCTCTCTCTCTCTCTCTCTCTCTGCCCCCTCTCTCTCGCTATCCAAAATATAATGTATAATTGTTAGGTTTGAGGGCAATCCAAAAGGACTGTGTTATCATCAATTGAAGTTGATACCAAATATATTTATGAGATTAGACACTTAATCCAACAAAAAAATACATGAAAAATATTTAAACACAAATAGTAAGTACAATGATTAGTGAGTACCCCCCCCCCCCCCCAAAAAAAAAAAAAAAAAAAAAAAAAAAAAAAAAAAACCACATACGATACAAGTAAAGGGTCCATACCATACAAGTAAAGGGTCAAGCCTAGCATACATACTTTCAAGCCCAACCTAACATACATGCTTTGGGGTCTAGCCCATATAATTAGGCCCAACCCATTAAAATATACATACAAATGTTGTTGGATTAGATATATAAGCCCATACCTATTTTTAGTATATACTCGACCCGAGAGTAGCATGGTCCATTTGGGTTGCATAACACCAGGACAATTTATTAGGAGGGACTCTTGAGAGAAGGTTATATATGATTTATTAATATATTATATGTTCTAATATTCTAATATGAAATCATGTGTTTTAATTAGTATTGATCAAGAATTAATTTGGAATTAATTTAGTGATCAAAAGAGACTAATTAAATCTATGAGCCTAATTATGGTAATTAGTTATATTTATATGTGTGGGGCTTATGATCCATGTTGGGCCAAGTTTATGTATGGACACATAAAGAGTTGGGCCACATGAACCATGAATCATAATACCCATGGGTATGGATTTGGGTTATACCCATAACCCTTGGAATCCAACATATAAATATGTGCTCCTTAGCCAAAAAAATGCCTATACACATATTCTTGGAGTTCATAAGGTGTTTTTGGTGCATGTAGATTCTCTCTCAAGAGCCACCTTTATCCTAGGTGAGTTGTGAGCCATTTGAGGCATTCACAATTTTGGTGCTAAGCTCTTAAGGCCAAATACAACAAGGTGATGAAGTATTGAATCGAGAAATGAAAACAAAATCAGAGTAACAATAATTAATAACACAATGAGTAAATAAGATACTGTTTCAACTCATATTATGCTTCACAGTTATAGAGAGAAAATAGATAAAACAGACTCCAAAGTACTTATCTATCTCTAAGTAACAACTCCTATTTATAGGAGAAAAGTAAAGCACATAAAAAAATACTAAGGACTAAGCATCTAGACTTCGAAACGTAAAATTCCTTAGTAAATAGATAAAATACTATTCGAAATTGCTAAGACATACTTCGACACATTACAACAAATTTGATACGCACAATCTCCCCCTTTGTAATAAGTGTCGAAGTCAGTTTATTAACACTTTAGCAACTTTATGTAAAAACTTCTGAACTTCAGCATGCCAATTCATGATCTTTCTCATTTCAGCTTTATCTTCTTCTGAGTTCTTCTTACTGCTATTCATACGAACAATTAAGTTCGTTTATTGAGTTGTTATGTACCTTTTAACATCATTTGCTTGAAATCAAAACTTTGATTGTTTTCCATTCTTACCCTTCCCAACAAAAACTATCCCATAAGGATTTAAGCATATTTTACCATCATCATATGCTATCAGTTCGACTTTTCTTTTCACCAATGATTGAGCTACTGAAACTTCTTTCCCCAAGGACATAGTTAAGCCTATACCATTCAAAGCTAGACAATCATAATAATTGTCTATGAAGAGCTTAAGATGTCCCAATCCCAATCTCGACACTTCTTTGCTGGTTCCCTGAAGCTTTGAAGCATCTGACTCCTTGAGAATTTATGCAACTTGAATAAGATCATTCAAGTTCGTTAATGGAAAATCAACAATAGTGAATTTACATGCAACCTTGTTAGCTCTCACAACATGATTTCGAAAGTTTTGTAGCATATTTTCGAATAAGTCATCTTTTGTAATACTCAACACTTGGACTATCTTCACACATGATGATAATTCCTCCTGTTCTTTCTCCAAAACTGCATGAAACCTCAGCTTCATGTGAGTGAAATCATCTGGATTCTTTAATTGATTAACAGTTTTATAGTAAGCTGTTATGAATATCATCTCATTGATTAGGAAGTCGAGTTGATTCATTTATGTGTTTTCAATGGCATAACTCTTTCTGGTTTTCTTCTTGAATTCATGCATTTCATTGTATGCCACCCTAGCTTCGATATTTTAATAACTATGCAATTTCCTGGGATCTCCCTTATTCAGATGAGTAGGATCATTTTGTCGAAGCCTCAAAATACTTTGAATTTGTCTTTGCTTTTCCATCTCAGCCTCAACCTCTGCTTTTCTTTCTTCTTTTGATTTTTCCACAACAACCTTTTTCCCTCTATCTTGTATTGTTGGGATTTCTTTGGGTTTCGAAGCACTCCCTTCTCCACTTGACCCAATCACAATGCCTACTGACACTTTCCTTGTAGTTGTAATAGTCGAAATCACAGGGTCAACTTTCGATATGATTGGTTTTGTTGTGGGAATGTTTGTTGTAAAGACTTTACCAATAACTTTAGCTTCTTAACCAGTTTTTCTAGAAGCTCCTTCACCAAAATACTTCCTTTCTCCCCTTTGCACCCTTGTGACAACAGGCGGGGCATTTTTTGGTAAAATACTAGCAAGTTGAGATAATGGGGCTAACTGTTTGTGAAGTACAGATTCAAAGAAAGTGAGCTTTTTAGACAAAAATATTGTAGTGATCAAAGGAGAAGACCCTGGCTTCAAAACAAGTTCTTTTAATTTAGTCAATAGTTTGTCGATATCTGAAAAGCTTTGAACTTCATCTTTGGACATTTGTTCAACCTTAGGACCAAGTTCTTCATACAATTTAACTAATTTTGTTACTGCATCTGCAATTATGTCCATTTTCTGATTAAGAGAAGCATAATCTTTTTACACAACAACTATCCTTGCTCATATCCTCTCGAAGTTCCTGAATCTTGAAATTCACATCCTCCCTAACCTTCTTAGCATCTTGAATGAATAACATGTGACGTTCTTTTGCAACAGCTTTCAAGTCTTGAAGATCAGAAGAAAAGGTAGACAATTGATTCTTCAGATGCTTCTCATTATTTCGATCAACTTTAGAAATTGCCTCATGAAGATGGCCTGCTTGCTTTTTGAGCAAAAGATCTACTTCTAGACTAGACACGGAATGTTTCCCTCCTCCATCAACTTGAATTTGGAATAACGAATTAAGCTTATGATTCAGGATTTTGAATTGTTTCCCGGTGAATATCATATTGTCTGGAATCTCCTCCTCTTTAGGATCAAATTGAATATCTCTAAAGGTTCCACCAAAAACATTTTCATCATCATCAGACGAATGATGATCTTCCTCATGAGTAATTGTTGGTTTGGTAGATTGGAAAGAAAATAAGGAAGTAATTGGTTGGTTGATAATATTATCGAAAGTGGGTGAATGTGTGTCAAGAGAAGAGGTTACAAAAGGAGGTAAAGTTGTTGAAGTATCTATGGCGGAAGTTTCGAAAAGAAAGGAAAAAAATGATAGGAGTACCTTGAGACTGGGTTGTTTCGACAATTATTTACAATGGAAGAGAAACAATAAGCGGTTCCGGTTGAGATACTGAGGAAGATACAAAAATCATTTCAACATTGGAAGTGTCGACTTGAGATGTTGTCATTGGAGGATCCTAAAGAACTTTTTCTTTGGTAGATTCATCATTGATCACTAGCTTTCGAAGTTTCTTCTTATGTTTCTTCGAAATGAGTTTAGCCATATCTTCGAATTTATGCTCTTTGATGAAGGTGAAATAGGAACTAGAATTTCACGAATCACAACACCTTTCCATGTAACATGTGGTTTTTGAACCATGGATGGAGAAAAACTTGGAGATCTATCAGATGAACTTCGTAACCTGTGATCAATCTTCTTGAGTCTCTTGAACACTTCGGTTTTCGAAGGAACCACCTCTTTTGGAGATTCATCAGTCTTCGTTGCAACAGGTTTTGCCTCAAGCTTCGAAACAATTACTTCTTCTATGGGTTTCTTCTTTGGAGACTTTGATTTTTTTTCTTCTCCTGAATGGGTTTCGTAGGACTCTCCTCCACCTTCTTCAAACATCTAGAATGTTTGGAAGGACCCTCCTCAGATCGAGATAACAAAATGTCAGTTTCAATTGAGGGATTGATAGTTTTCAAGTAAGCCTGTAAAACTGAATTGGAAGAATCCATCTTCTTAAATATACCATCAGGAATCCTAGCAACACTAGGAAATTCCTCAACATTATCTTCAACAGCCTTCGAAAAATTGTACTTCAAAAACTATGTTGTGTCCTCATCACCCGGTACTAGTATTCCTTCCTTTTCGTATGTAAATTGAAGAATTAAACTCCAGTATCTTGCACATGAAATTCCATCCACTACATTTGTGTTTTCCACACTTTTAAGAAAGTCCCTCCACATCTGTGTAGCATAATCCCCAGAAATATCATAATAGATACCGACAACCATGGCATAAACTTCCAATCTGCCTTTATCCAATTCAACATTCCGGCCAATAAGACATCTAAGGTAAATGTTGAACAAAAATTTCCAAATACAAGAAATTCTAGATTTCTTGAATTCACTAATCTTTTTGAGAGTGGATTGATAACCCATCTCGTTGAACATGTGTAAAACTTGCTCATTGATGACTTTGTAGAAAGGATGTGAGTTAGGTATTTCCAGGATTTGACAGAAAAGCTTCTTAGTTAACCGAAACTTCTTGTCATTGATCGGATTGAAGGTGATGTGATCCAATGTTTTGCTATACGTGGCCATAGAACCTACTAGTGATAACCAAGACATCGGAACTAGATAATAACTGAACATCGTCGACTTCAAAACACAGTGTTGTAGAGCCACTATCAACATCTGTAGTTCATCAGGATAAACTGTGACATCGCTTTCGACTTGATAGTTGTTGCTCTGAAGTTTCATGATGGGCTGGGAAGAAACACCTTCTGTGGTTTGAGATGGAGCATCAATTGTAGTGGGATTAGCCATGATTAGGGTTTGAAGACGAATAAATGATCAAAGAGTTCTTTCGCGATTTTGGAATTTTCAGAAAGCATAACCATGTAATGAACCCTTGAAACCACTTTTATCGGTAACCCTTGGATTTGAAATTGAAGCGGGATCAGCATTAAATGAAAGCTGATGTGGCACCTTTAAAATCGCACCCGTACGTCGATTAAGTATCCGCGCGTGATAAAGTGAACATCACTTCTCCATGAAACCCGGACAAAATACAAAACGTCTTGTCATACAGCCTGGTATCATGCCCCAATGGAATAACAACCAACATAAACCTTCGGAATGGAGGAAAAGCTTTTTCACTTTTGGGTGGAAAAGCGAAGTCATGTGCCAGTCATATGCCAGAATCTTGAAATCATCAGCCTGAGTTGGTAATACTCAGAACCTCAAGGATTTCGTGAGTGCAGTGTGTCAAAGAAAATGATTAGATGCAAATAAAGAAAAATTTGGACCCGTGATGTCGAAACATTAAGTCTTCGACATAAAAGCAGATAAATCTCGGGCAAAGATTTATTCGTTATACATTAAGAGAGATGACTAACAGCTTGTGTGGTTTCCTGTAAATTACAATCGAATACTTGTTAAGAAGTATCGAAGCGCCTCTTTTTAATAAGCTTCGTGGGTGGTTTAAGATTTCGTTACATATCAGCACTTAACATAAACGTGAGTAATTGTAACAAAAATTATTTGTTTAACCAGTGTAGTCAGTGACAAATGGGCTATGGAAAAACTTTTGTAAGTGACTTCAAGAAATAAATAATACTCACATGGAAATCATATTCAATAAAACAAAATATCAGCTGGACCTTGTTGGGAAACAAATGTCATGGGTTTTGAACATTTGATCAAGAGCACTCAAAATGATTGAATATGATTTGGATTATTGAAGATGGGTACATAAACAAATGTTTTGTTAAATCTAGAATAATGTTCCTTGTTAATTCCTTAAAGGGTTCGATATTTAGGGTTTCACTTTCATCATGCTCTCATGATGTTAGATCATTAACACAGAATGTTGATATGTCTAAAGCTTGATTGGTTGTATCTCTTGGACATATGTCATTGTGTGTGAAAGTGTAAGAACTTTGGGACGAAAAAGATTGGTTAAAGAAATTCGAATGTACCACTGCTATTTGTTGGACCAAGCAGATTACTCTTAACTCATTGAGTAGAGTATGGTAGCTCATAGACTAATGTGAATACAACCTGATTGGGTAGAAATTTCCATGATGAAAACTTCATTAAGGCTTCTAAATCACACATTGAGTCAAAGGGGGCTTGAGTCAACATGCTGCAACATGCTTCTAGGGACATTCTAACTAGTACAAAGTTTTTCAAAAATTTACCTGACCCTAGAACTACAAGCATGAACCATCAACGATCTTCACTTTAAGTTGTAACAATTATTAGAAAAATAACCAACAAACAAACAATAAAATATTTTTGGACTTTTTAATTTTTCGAAATATAAAATGAAAATAAAATCTTTTAAGGATTTTTGATTTTTCGAAATATAAAGACAAAACGAAAGTAAAACCTTTTTGGTATTTTTGATTTTTCGAAAAATAAAGAAAAAACAAAAGTAAAATCTTTTTGGTATTTTTGATTTTTCGAAAAAGAAAAAAATATCGAAAACATGAAAAGTAAATGTACCAAACTCGCGAAGATTTTTCATTGTACCCATTCACCAAGATATCGATAGCGAAGCATATCGAAGTGTTGACTATGAATAGTAACCATTGACTCCGACAGTTGTCATCCTTTTTCACCTTATCATTCTTTCGAATCAAATCCTGGAACGGAACCTCCTTCAATCATTCCTAATCCTGCTAAAACTCGAACAAATGATTTTTTATCAAGTGGCTTTGTGAAAATATCAGCAAGTTGATCAGTTGTTTTCATAAAATGAACTTCGGTATTGCCATCCTTAACATGATCTTTTATAAAATGATATCGAAGAGCAATATGTTTAGTTTTCGAATGGTGCACAATATTGTGACAAATGCGAATAGCACTTTGAGAATCACAATATAAAGGAATTTTCTTCATATTGATTGCATAGTCACGTAATTGGCTTTGAATCCAAATAATTTGAGAAGTGCAAGCCGCAGCAGCGACATATTCTACTTCTACTGTTGAAATCGAAACGCATGTTTGCGTTTTCGATTGCCAGCTTATCAACTTCCCATCAAGTAGTTTACATCCGCCACTTGTGCTTTTTCTGTCAAGATTGCATCTCCCTAAATCCGCATCAGAAAATGCTTAAATGAAGAATCTGGTTTTCGGAGGATACCACAATCCTAATGAAATAGAACCTTTGAGATATCAAAAAATAGTCTTCACTGCTATTAAATGTGGTTCTCGCGGATTCGATTGATATCTAGCACAAGTACAAACAGAAAACATAATGTTAGGTCGACTTGCTGTAAGAGAAAGTAACGAACCTATCATGCTTATGTATAAAGTAAGATCAACTGCAGGTTGATCTAATGAATTTGTGAGCATTGTTCCCACAGTCACTGGCACTCGCAATTTTGTGCTATTCGTCAATCCAAAATTTTCAAGCAGATTCTTTGTGTATTTTTCTTGATTTATAAAGATTCCTTCTCTGCTTTGACGAATATTCAATCCAAGAAAGTTTTTAATTTTTCCCATCATACTCATCTCAAATTTTCTTTTCATTAGATTTTCGAATTCACTAGACAAAGCAGTGTCGGTAGAGCCAAAAATAATATTATCCACATAAATTTGAACAAGCATTAGATGATCTCCAACTTTCTTTCGTAAGAGAGTGGGATCAATTGATCCTTGTTTAAATTTTGATTGTTTTAAGAAAGAAGTTAATGTTCCATACCATGCTCTTGGTGCTTGTTTTAACCCATACACTGCTTTATCTAAAATATAACAATGATCAGGATATTCTTCATTAACAAAACCTGGAGGTTGTTGCACATACACTGTCTCTTCAAGTTCACCATTTAAAAATGCACATTTGACATCCATTTGATAAACATCAAAATCTTTATGAGCTGTATAGGCTAAAAGTATTCGAATAGCCTCGAGTCTTACGACAAGGGCAAAGGTTTCTTCATAAATGATACCTTCTTGTTGCAAATAACCTTTAATAACAAACCTAGCTTTATTTCAAACAATATTACCATCTTTGTCGGTTTTATTTTTGAAAATCCATTTTAATCTGACAATCGAAATATCTTTTGGTTTAGGAATTAATCTCCAAACCTTGTTTCTTTCAAATTCAGCTAATTGAGATTGCATTGCAACAACCCAATCATAGTGTTCCATTGCATCCTTAACTAACTTTGGTTCAATATTCGAAATAAAAACATTATAGATGCAAAACTCTTGATGAGTATGAAGTACCTCAATCTTTGCATGTATTTGAGCTCTTGTTAATACTCCTTCATGTAGATTCCCAATCACTTGTTCTTTAGGATGACTTTTAACCCATCTATCCGTTGGAGGATATGTTGGATCAAAATCCAAAGGTGCATCCTCGAACATATCTTTAGTTACAGAACCTCTAACAGAAACATTATCAATTAGATCATGAAAAGTTTCATCTTGATTGCTATTCGAGATATTTTTCTCCCCCTAGAAAAATTCATTTCAGGTTCCTCCCCCTCGACATTATTATCCACAGGTTGCTTCCCCTCGATGTTATCATCGATTCTTCTATTCTCCCCCTCGAAAGAAAGCTCCCCCTCAATATGAAAATTCGAATTCAAGTGCTCCCCCTCCATTTGATGATTAAGCATACTTTCGCCATTTACAGAAGAAGATGATATTTATTGTTCATTAGCTGCATTTGGATTAGATGTCAAAAAATTAGAATGTTTTGACAATACCAAAATTTGATTATCTTGAACATTTATTTCGGAATCCGCAGCACTATCAGGAACGCCAAAAACTAAATCCTAATCAAAATCACATGAATCTAGACTTTCATATGCATCTTTTGATACATTAAGCATAGGTTTTTATTCGAAACATTTGTCAACTTGTTGGATATAATAATCATCGAACGTG